TGCATCAGCACTTTCTAGCACCACTTGGTTTCTTCTGTAATCTTAATCAAACATATTTCTGCTAAACGTAGCAGTGTTTTCTGCTCATTCATTGTTGAAAGCTGTATGCATCGAAATTTTGTTTTGTTTACACTCTGTGTATACAAAATGACAATAAAATTTGTTTAAATCTAAGCTGTTATGGAGCTATTGCTGCAACTCTATGGGAGCAGGCCATTTCTGAAACTTTTGCTGACTTTTTCTTTGTTGGAGAAATGCAACTATTTTTTGTTATTTTTTTCATAAAAAAAATCTCTTCACAGTTCATTTGGATTTGGCTGCATTTATTTTTTCACTGATGAAGGCATTGAAGGAACTGCTGCCACTGGCTATGTGTGAAAGTCCACCCCTTGGTTCTGTGGTCTTAAACCTTGTAAACTTTGGTTTTCTTTGCCCTCATTTAAAATACAACCCGTTGTTTCTGGGCTATTTTCTCCATCTTCTCCCTCTCTTCTTTACTCCAAACTGTAGCTTTTTCTCCGTTTAAACTGGAAGGATTGTTTCTAGAATCAGAATCATCTTAAACAGCCAAGTTTGTGCTCACATCATAATTAACAGTACAAACAACAACCACAATATGTCGAAATATGTTGGATAAAAGCTAGATTTTAGTAGTAATTGGAAACGTGCAACAAAAAAAAAAAAATAAATAAAAACAGAGAACATTTTCAGCTGGGGATTCCTCTATACAGAGTCTATGTATGAGCATCACTTCAAGTTAATAGATTGGATGATTCCTGGGATCCAGAAGTCCACACAATGTTTCTGAAAATGTTGAAGGATGACAATGTGCTCCAGAAATCCACCCTGATCTCCACTGTTTTTGTCACAGGACAGAAGGACCCAGCATTCAAGACGAGACAGAGTGGGATAATTCAAAGCGTTTATTTAAAAACTCCATGTGAGTCACTAACCTGATTTAGCTGTTCAGTCCATCTCCATAGAACAAGGTAGGATCCAGCCGGTGGGCTATGGCTGAGATGTGGCGGGCACCGCTCAGAGTGTCCCAGATGCTACAGCCCTGGATAACATGCAGGAGTCTGAGCCAGGTTAGGGAAACAGATCAGAACAGGAACAGGCTGTTTCAGGGTTCCAGGAATCCACAAAGAGTTCAGGCAGAACGTTCAGGTGGGAACAGGCCAGTTCAGTGGATGAGGGACAAATCAGATCAGGATCAGGAAATTAGAACCACTATGGTATGCTTAAAACCCTCTCTCCACTGGCCCCTGAGAATGACAACAAGATAATCTGGCCCCCAATAGCTGGATGAAAGAACATTAAATAGAGCAGAAGAAGGATGATCAGAAAAGTGGTAATGAGCAACCGGGCAAAGTTGGACAGGTGAATGGAATGAGCAATTAAGCCAGCCGTCAGCGCCAAGATCATGACAGTTTTTAACTGATGGTCCTGATCAGCTAGTCCTTGTTACCACATGCTATCTCTGGATGAAGGATTACTGCAGAACTGATGGTTTGGTTTGGTAAAATGGGATTCCCTAAATTGAAGCAATTATTTTTTTCTACCGAATTTGAATCGCACAAACTAGTTGGATTAAAACTGATTTAATACAAATTGTGTCTTAGTTTGATTGGCTTGTATTATAAAGTATCATGAGAGATCAAATGTATGTTGTGGCATAGGCAAAATGTTGCATGTTGCAGTTACACGTCTTTTTTTGCCTCTGAAAATAATGAGTTTTTCAGTTCAATTTCCAAAAAGAAATATTGCTAAATTTAATAAAATAAAAAAATAAAAAATAAATAAATTTTACTGCTAACTCTTCAACAATGTGAACCAGATTTATTCAGCAGGCTGAAAGTTGACTGAGTGGCAGCAGACTGGGACTGGCTGTTTCAGATGGTAATATAAAGTTAAAAGAAAGGAACAACCCGAAAAGCAAACAGAAATCAAATGTTTGTTCTTTATATTACGAGGAACTGGTAAAAAGAAATAAACTGGAAGAGAAACTATTTTTTTAGGAAATTAATGATACCTGGGGGAATTTATTAGACAATAGGGTAATTCCGTGTTTCTTTGATCGCTGGAGTAAAGGGCAGCCATTAAAAACTAGTTTAAAAACATTTAACCAACATCAGGCGTGAACTGTTCACCTAATTGCATTTTCAAATAAATATACTGTAACGGCTAATCTAGTTTTTAACAAAAGCAAACCTGGGAAAATGTCCTCACACTGTGATATGTTAATTCTGAATTTAAAAGTATAAAGCAATTAAAACATGTAAAAAAACATGTCATCATTTCACGTCGTCAGTTACTTTTCTGGTTGTTTTTTGACATATGATGTTAATGTGGGCTGCAAAGCGTTTATGATGATATAAATCTCCCTCTTTGTAATATGAAGCATGCTAAATAATGTACATGCAAATTCAGTTTTTATCTGCGGTGTTTAAATTGTCTGAGGGTGAACTGACTGCACAATGTCAGTCAAAAGGCACTTGTCAGGATTCATTATCCATAGTTCTGAGCACACACATAATCAGCTATGGCTTACAGCGGTGGGTAACCTTGAAAGGACTCATTAACGTCCACTCATCAACCGGCCAAGTCCAAGTGTTTTACAGAGAGAAGATGCATCTTTGTGGTGTGGGAAAGCAAAGTCAATGAAGCTTTGTTAAGGATTGGAGTTTAACCTCACTGCACTGACATGGCGGTGGGACTGACAAAGTGTTCCAAGCATTAAAGTGCTGTGAAAAAAACTCTTTCAGCAGGTTTTACAGAAGCTGTTTCTTTGTTAGAAACTATCGTTTTCAAAGCATTACCTGGAAAATACATGATTCTCTTTTAAGACACTGTTATAGTGCTTCTGAGCATATAATGGGGAAATTAGATCATAGTGTTAAGATACAAGCAGAGCTCCTAAAAATACATTTGAAAACAACCAACTGCTGGACATATTAATGCAACAAAACTGCATGAATGCTTTATTTCATTTTAAAGCCTGTTATGAAGAATAACATAAATAATAATTAATAATATTTCTGAATATATTCTTTTTCTGTGGTATATCAGCTTTTAAGATTATAATAAAAACCACTGTCATATAAAATCTTACTATAAGTTGCAGCTCAATAAATCATATTATAAAAAGTTTTTTTTTTGTAAATAATGTAATAATAAAAAAGAACTCATGTATTATAAAGTGATTGCACATAGAATGATCATTTGTACACAAACTAATTACAAATAATCTTAGATACAGAAATGCCCTGTTATTAGGGCTATACAGGGATCAAAAGGAAGACATCTCAGCACACAACCTCTAACTGCTGGAATAAACCAAAAGAAGTTGTCAAAAAGAAATGAACCAGTCACAGAATGCTGAATGAAGCATGTTAAGAGAAAACTGAGTGGAAGGAAAAAGTATTGCAGAAACAAATGACAGGCAACAACATCATGGCTGATGGAAAAAATGTAATTCTTACCAAAACCATTCTGGATGCAGGGACTTTAATCTTCTATTTCAGACTTAAAGAATTTGACTTTCAAAAATTATTTGATCATAAAAAAATAGCTTCGGACAATTGAGAAAAAACATTTCTCTCATTAGGCCAGATTCATTTGTAAAGAATCTGTTTAGGATGAAAAACTTGCAACTCCCCCAAACACACACTCCAACAGAAATCTGTAAGCCATTTCCCCTTTCATTTAACTTTCTTTTAATATTTCTGGGATCATTTTAAACAGCCAGCTTATTCTGTAGCATCATTTTTACGTCTAGTGCTAGTTGTCAGTGACTGTCTGCAATCTGTCAAATCAGCAGATAAAAGAAATGACCATTAAAAGGATTGGAAATACTTATCAATAAGCCCACGTTGCTGAGCTCCAAGCTTTGCGAATCATCTCCAACTGTCTTTACTCCTAAATCCTATCAAATATATTTCTACTACTGCTACCTTTTTTTTTTTTACCACACTTCTTCCTTCCACCCAACTTTCAAATAAATATGCAGATACATTTTGTAAAAAACCAGCCTTTTGAGGCAGTAGGTGACAATGACCGCTTGACAGCTGTGATATCAGCTGATTATGTGGTTATATCATAATTTATCTGCACTGTAACATTTGAACTTTTCATTTGCTGTAATCACAAAAAAACAACAACAACATATTACTGGAAATGTAAAGCATCTATAATATTCATCACTTTTGAACTAAATGATGAAATGGATCACCTGTAGTGTCCTCCTTCCCTTTGTTAACGATAGAGCATCAAGGCTATGCATCTTGATGCTCTTTCTCTCTGGTTCTTTTCCCTAAAAGGAGATCACTCGGGACAAACTCTTTAAATAACACTTCATAACTTATATGTATTAAATAACCAGGAGACATGCAACAGTTTCTGATAGAAATTGTTTAGAGTTTACAGAATGGAAGCTGCTCTCCTCCTGGCTCACCTCTCAGGAATTGGGCATGATTAACAGTTAAAAAGGCGTTTTTTCTTTTCTTTCTTTGTTTATTTTTATATATAAAATAATAAAATAAAAAAATACAAAAAATAAATAAATAAAATAAACATAATAAAAAAAAGGCATTTTATACATCTCCAGTCTGCCACATCATCTTATTTTACATCATACATGTTAGCAGTTGATTAGACATCCACGGCTCCAGCCTTATCAAAATATTACACTTTGTTCTTAGCTGAAGCACACCGCTCTCATTCCATTCCCAAATCTTTGAAATGAGAGTGAAGATTATAACTGTATGTGCAGACAGAGGAACTGTTTTAATTAGATTAACTATTGTGGAAAACATCACTTCCGACAGGCAGCCAATGCCAAGGTATAATAAACTCACACATCTTCAATGATAAATCATTATAGTAACATCTTCCATTCAACATTGAATGAAACTGGGCCCGCAGTAGCAGCTGTTAAACACCAGAGGCGCTGTTTTTCATGCACCAGAAAGTCACATGTAACAAATGAAAAAGAGGAAGATCAGGAAGTAAAATCCGGAACAGGGAAAACTGAAAGAAGGAGGCAGAAAGTTAAAAACATGCTGCAAAGACAAGCTTTATCACTTATCTATTCACAGCGTCTCTAAATGACAGAAACCGCGTCTTTTAGTCGAGCATGTTTAACAGAAATTTCCAGAGCAAAGCTTTTATGGGCAGGTCGGTTCTGCTCCTGGTCCGGTTTCATAAACTAAGGGTCCAGATGTCCTCAGAGGAGAGGAGTCAGCTGAGGCTGACAGAGGAGGAGAGGAGCATCCACAGAGCCCACAGGGAGGCGTGTGAGGTACCAACACTTCATGCATCACATCACAAACAGCCTTCTAACTTTTCATTCATGCAGTGTTGCTCATCATATCTAAGTTAGCACCATGGTTTATTAATAAAACATCCTTAGTGTTGGTCAGTATTATATGACAGAGTATTAGGGCCAGGCTATTGTTTTTGTTTTTCGAGAATAAAGTTGGAACATTACGAGAATTTTAGTCGTTATATTATGAGAATTAAGGTAAAATATAACGTGAATGACGTCGTCATCACGCAACCCGTTTCAGAAAAAAAGCTTCAAGCTGTCCCAAATTAAACATTTCTCAATTGTCCTACTTAACACCAGTGGATTCTTCTATATGTCTTGTTGTTTCCCAAAAAAATAAATAAAAAATAATAGAAAAAAAGAGCCTTTTTTCAAATGAACATTAAAGCGATACCTTATGCCATCTCACACTGGGGAAGATTCTTGGATTACATCAACTGGAAAGAAATCTGGCTGCTTCCAAATCGATATTTGATAAATAACAAAACTTAAGAAATCTCATTTAAGATAATCTAGAACATTTATCCTACCAAAGTCTTTATCCAGAAACGCTTAAAAAAAACAAAAAAAAAGAAAAAATGGACAAAGATTTTCTTTTGTTTTGGAAGACTCTACTATTCGGCATTAAGGGAAATTGCAGGGTTCAACCAAAGAGATCAAATAAGGTATATGTAATTGACTTGATTATTATTATGGCCAGGTTCTTTATACATAAATGTAAATATAGAGGCTCCAAACCATGCATTACTGCTTTTAAGCATGAACTCAAACAATACATTGACACCAAACAATTATCAGAAAATAAGTAAGCAATCAAAACTCGAGAAGCCTTTGTCCTTTTTATTCTTCTTGTTTAGAAAGCTGTTTCCCCCTAGTGTTTACTTTTATTTAATAGATGTACTGTTTTATTTTATTTTTTTCTTGTCTTTCTTCCTTACTGTTTCTTGTTTTGCACAAAACGAGGACATTTACTTGACTGGTAAACATCTGAATTTACACCTGTTGAAAATATCTGTAAAAAAAGGATTTTAAGAATACCTATAGTACAATATGGTTGCTCTATAATTTTCTTTGCAGAAAAAATAAAATTGTATTGAAAAAAAAAATAAAAAAATAAATAAAAGCTTCAATCTAACTATTGGTAAGCAGAGACTGCAGTTGCTCAGGGGCCCCCGATCTCTTAGGGACCGCGTAACTGACACTTGGTTGGCCCCCTACGCAATTGTGGATTAGGACGTCTCTTTGCAGACGTAATGGTGCGAAAATTTCTTCTGAAACCCATCTGATATTTGATCATCTGACCTTATTTATACCCCAACACATGGCAGATTTCACCATGATGGTGAGCCGTTTAAATACAACACCAACAGCAAAGCAGACAGTGATAACTTTAATTACTATGTTAATAACTGTGTATAGTATTTTATTTTTTACAATACGACTTGGAATTATGGGTAATCCAGAGCGTAGATTAAAACCATAACCGTTGCATACAATGTTTTAGCAACGATGGATACCAAAATGAGATACTTAAATGGTTTAAGGAGAAAAGAAAAAGCAAATAAGGGGATGTTGTACTTCATTTGAGGCCCATCCAGATAATGTTGCTTACGGGCCTATTGTTTGTGTCGTTACGCCATTGCTCCAACCAGCGTATAACGGCCAACCAGCACAACCAATCAGCAACCTGAGTCCGCTTTGACATCCTGCCCAATTTGATGCTGGTGTGCTCAAAGATTTCCTTATTTGTCAAACCGATTCCAAAGTGTAACTTATCATGTATGGAGGACCAATCCTGCCTTAATTAAAAATACATACAGAAATAAATGAAGGACTTAATGATATAAAAGTGCTTGAAAAAGTACATAATAAAAAGTAAATACTTAGCTGTTTTTTTCAAGTGGAATAGGCAACATTTTGGAAATGTTTAAAGTGAGAGAAATAATGAGCTAAAACAGACGAAGCGCTGATGAAGCATAAATATGTGAAAAACTTTTATTCAGAGTTTGAATGCAAATGCAGGCCACACTTTTCAGATTCTAGAGGTAAAACTCTTTCTAAGCCATATATCTGAATGATATCTATTTTCTAAGCTTTATTTCCATGGTTTCCATTTTTTTTCCAGAACAAAAAACAATGAATTGGTTTATTGATTCTATAATGTGGTCAACCCACCTAGTGGCAGTAAATGTTTTAGTCAGGTGTCTCATATTCACCAGCTTTGACTCGCTCCTCCATCAAACTGAGGCGCTGAGCTCTGCCCTGCTGACAGCGGTGCTAAGGTGTCGTCTGCGTGCCTTTAGGCTTCTCTGCTGTAAATATTGTGCTTCGGAGTGAGCATGAAGTTGAGGCAAGTTGGCCGCGACCTGAGGAGAGTGGTAGGACCTGGGTGGGAAAAGCACAATACCGTGGGGGGGGACGGCTATGCCAGCCTCACTATGGGGCCCTGCACCGCCATGTGAAATGACAGGCCGTGTCACCAAAAGGCCTGAGGCTTTTTTTGCTTTTGTGAGCTGTCAAAGCTCACCAACTAGTGCGCCCTCAGTTTGAAACAGACTGAGAGATGACGTTTTCTAACTTCCCAGAGCACGGCAGAGAAGTTCAGTGTGTTTGTCCTGCCAAAGGTGTCGGCATGGCGGCTCAGGAACCAACTAGTCTGAATAAACTGCCTATTTAAGAGGGAATCACAGCTGATTAATCGTTCACCTCCAGAGTCGCTTAAAAGGATTCCACAAAGTAATTAGCTGCATCATGAGAATTAGACTGTTTTACATCTGTTTTTATACGCAGAGGTCAGCCTTTCCCTTTTTACCTTGACCTGAGCCAATCTGTTAGTGTGTAAACGCTCATATCCAGGATCAGTGCCTTTAGTCTGCTCACTTACTGTGTTTATCTTTGTGTAATTAAATGTACTCCATATAGTTATGTATGCAGGGGTCACACACCAGCATGCATGCTTGTTTGTCATGCTAATTAAATAATAATATCTTCATTATGTTCAGGCAAAGAAGCAGATGTATGTGGATCCTTCCAGTGGGTATAAGGTGTTCACAGAGTATGCCCACCTTCAGAGAGGGAAATGCTGCGGCAGCGCCTGCAGACACGTGAGCTCCTTTGTCTCTGTCTTTTTTTTTTATGTGTCGTCCTTTGGTTTACAGTTATCCTTGTACACATTTAGTTCCCTTTATCCAGCCTCAGCTGTTTTGCTTTGATTATTTTTTTGTTTGTTTGTTTTTCCCCTCTTCCTTTCGTCTTTTATGCTTTTTTTCGATCAATTGTTAACTTTAGGGATGTCAATAAGTGATAAATAATTGAATAAAAATGGTCTATAATTCATGTTGTTGATAACCATGTAGATTTAGTACACATATGGAGAAATTGTTTTATCTATTTAGCTAACTTAGCTAAAGGCAGAGTTAGATAATATCTAGCTCTAGGTATAGGTATACTTCATATTATACTTCATAGATATAGATATACTTCATTAGTTATAGCTTTTTACTAATAAAATACAAATTTGATATTCATTACATTCCAGCTAAATGTTTTGTTCTCTAAATCCTTTAGCTCTGAGTCTGAACAGCAATGGGGAAGACTAAATGAGTTCTCAATAATCATTAATACTGTCTACAAGGAGGATAAGCTACAATAGGTATTGCTAAAGAATGTTCAAAGTGATTAATCCAAGGGTTTCAATGGAAAGTTAAGTGGAGGGAAAACGTTTGGCAGAAAAGGCTGTTTGAAGGAGATTCACAAGGCCTGGACTGAGGTCAAAGTTTCAACAGACGGATGTTGGAGATGTGTTGTAATGGTCGCATAAGGGAATAAAGGAGTGGAATGTTCCTTTAAGACTAAAAGTTTCTTGTAACATTCCTCATTTCATTTGCAAATTTAATTGAATTCAAAAATATGTATATAATTAAATGTTATTATGACTAAATAAGTGAATCTATTGTAGATGTTAATAGCTGCTGGAAGAACGATCTCCTTTATCAGTTTGTCTGGCATCAGATCTGGTGAAGCTTAAAGTGCCTCATTCTTCTCTTTGCTAAAAAGTTATGTAAAGATTGGAGTTTTATTTTTAAAAAAGAAACTCTACAAAAGCACCAAGTCCTGGTTTAATGACCACGGTATCACTGAAGTGGCCAAACTCTAAACAGGCTTTGATTCACTATTCTCTTAAGGTTGTAGTCATCCTACCATAATTGAATTTTTGTTATTCTAAAATTTTCTTTCCACTAAACTTTCCACCTCTATGCTTTGATTACTCTTTGAAAATGTATCTTCATTAGCAATAAATTTTGTGGCTTACATTTTTAGTGGAGAGTTTTATTGGGATTTCTGAAATCAAACTTTCCTAATTATTCTAATTATTGTATTGATTTTTGCTTTTTAGTTATTTAGGAAACAGAATGTTTTGTTCCCATTAAGTATTAATTAAAATCTTAAAAGTTACCAGAAGTTTTGAATAAATAAAACATTAAATTTCAGTTTTTAAAACTACTTACTAAAATAACTAAAGTCCTTGATTTTCCTAATTTACCGAAATTAAACTTAACATTTAGGTTGAGAAATCAATATGAATGATAATAGTAATAATGCAAGGTCACCTTCCATTATGAAAAACACATAAGTGTAATACTATTGAAATGTACAATCAAGATGAAAAAATGCTTCCTATTCTTATATATTTTATCCAAATCTCTCAGCATCAGCTGTTGTAGAAGTCATTTTTGATTAAACCTTCTGACTTATTTGTCTTAATAATTTTTGAGCTCAGGTCCCGGAACGGGCAGAAGAAAAATGTCAGTGGACATTTAAAAAGCTCTTCAAGGGAAGGGAGGTTTATTTATAAGGTGTCAGTCATACTTTTTTTTTCCTAATCTTTACGGGAAGAACAGAGAATGAACAGAGCAGCGAATTGAATTAAACGAAAGCACAAAATACATCAAATAGCAATAGTAAAGAAATTAAAGGATTTTAAACAAAAAAAAAATGAAATTTTAAGAGGCAAGTTTAAAGCTAATGAAAGATCAAAAGATGACAGAACTGGGCTGGTTTACCATCATTTTGGTGTTTTTTGAAGTAAAAAATGTTAAACTGGACAAACCTGAGTGACAATGGTTGATTGTGAAAAGCTCTTCTTAGAAACCCAACGATTTCATTCTCCTTAAATCAGCCTTTTGTCTCCCTACAGTCAGACTTCTGTTGGGTTTGTTGGGATTTTTGCTTTTAATGTCGACCTGATGGATCCAAATGGGCAGAAACCTAAAATGTATTGTGAACCTAACAGGCCAGGGAATTGCTCACCAAGCAGGACACCTGTGTGACGTTTATCAGCCAAATTAGCCGATTGCCGTGGTTAGAGGATTTCTTTCTGTAAATCTAAAAACACAAACAAACGCAGGTATTGTTTAAGCAAAACACATAGAAAGCATGGAGACTTTTAAAAGTCTGGTAGAGTTTTTCATTCTGTTAAACTGATATAATGAGTGATTTCTGGAACATCTGGGATGGTGGGATTTTATCAAATTGAAAAAGTATTAGCAGGTAGCATCATAAACTCAGATTTAAATTTAGGCCATTGTTTAGCCGTTTAATATATTAGGCTGTATCTTTCTTTGCATAGATTGGATCATTTCATTCAAAGCATTCTTGGTGAGGACATATATTATTAGATTGTACATAATGTATAGCTCTATAGACTATGCAAAGAGTTGAAATAAGTGGATTTCTAGTTAGTATTGGAATAGTTTTCCCAAACTATGTGCAGCATTAATCATAATGGATCCCAGAGACAGCGGTCCATCCCATCCTGCTTTGTCTCTTCACACCAATCCTTCCTTCCAGACTGCAGCTCCGTGCCTTGTCCCATCTAGTTTGTCCCATCACTGCTCTTCATGGTGTTTTTATCATGCATGTCCCATGTGATTAAAGGGCAGCTCCGTTTAATTGAGTTATTTTGTCTTGCAGTGTCCATATGGCCAGGTCAACGTGAAGGACCCAGCAATGAAGAAACGCTTCAACTCCCTGTTTTATGTATAGAGCTGTAGCTAGGCAAAGGTAAAATGCTAAATGCCTGTTTGGAATGGAGCCCAGCTCTTTTGGCTTGTCTCCTGTCTGTCGTTATTTAGCCTGCATGTGAGCCTTTTTTTTTTTTTTTTTTTTTTTTCTGTGTAATAAATGATGAAATATGGGTAGCGTCTGTGCAATACCTACCTATTATGAATCACAAGCACTCTGAGGATTGTTTTCATTGTCACAAAAAGGGAACTCGGGGAGAGGATTTGTTCACTGGACCCTTATGTAAAATATTCTTTTCTGACTTATTTTTCTTAGCTTTATTTTGTGCATATTTTCTTTTCTCCAATGTCCACCAGAACGCCCCGAGCTCTGTTTTTTTTATATCTCTTTAAGAGTATTTAAGAGTTTTGTGGTATTCCCCCCCTCAGATGCATTTACAAGGGTTGTGGGAGTATGGAGATGAAAACTGAGAGTGCATTTTAGATCTTCGCCCTCAAGATAAAGGGCATAGAAGCGAACGTAACTGCAGATAGTCAGATGAAGCTCTTTTGCTTCTGCGTCTCTCGTTATCTTTCCTTGCTCCCAAACGTACAAACATGCATGAATATTAGCATCATTTGCACTCCACAAATGCTTCACTGAACTGTCTACCTTTGACTGATGCGCTCTGTAGTTAAAAATGGGAAAGGGAGGGGCGGGGGGGAAGGGTCAGCTCTCGCATTTGGCTGCACTGCTTTCTGCACCACTTGATGGAATCAGGTTGTTAGCAAACATGCCATGGACATCAACAGCAACCCTCCCCACCGGACGCACAGCTCAGCCTCCTGGCAACACTTGGCTACAGCGCCGCTCCCCGCGGCTGCTCTCCTGAGCTGCAGCCCTAATGAACTCCTGGGCCTTCTCATCCCAGGACTGCAATAGATCAGCTCATGTTCGCCAACATGCTGAGACGCACACATGCATAGGGATGCTCCCTCCATCAGAGCGCCCTGTGGCTCCTAATAGGCCAATATAGAAGAAAGGTTGCGCTTAACGCAGCACTTTGCAGCCCAAAGTAATGGTAGATGGAGAGGTCAAGTGCTCACATAGCTCCACCTGTGCGTGCAGGAGGCATCAGGGAAAGCTGCGCCGCTTGATTTGTGAGTGCATGTGGGAAGGCAGCGCGGTACCTCCAGGCTCACTCCTCTCTCTCTCACTCTCTTTTGAAGCTGCCACACACACTCCACCGTCTCCGCCTGATTGGGCAAACAGCGTCGTGATGAGAGGATGTGTCTGCCGCCGCGTCCACAGCTCTCCACGGCAGGTGGGGGTCCCCAAAGTCTGGCGCTTACACTGATCGGGCAAAAAACCCTGCGAGCGGCTACAAGGAGATTCATGATCCCAACAGTGCTGAGGAGGACAGGTTCTGGGGACGCTTCGTCAGGCGGGATGAGAGGCGGGTTTGTTTGGTGTTCATCTAAACCGAGGCAGCGGAGCGTGCGGCGGCTGCAGCGGGACGGTGAAGGTGTCACACTCGTCAACTACACACACCTACCTGGGGCCCGCTCGCCTGCTGCAGCTCCGTGGGGTTTTTAGCCCCGGGACTTGTCTGTCACATTAAAGTAGACGCATTGCCATTCAGGGCCTCGGCGGTCCCGCAGCCTGACCATGAAATAGGCCAACTTTCATGTCTGCCTCATCCCCTCCGCTTCCTCCCTTCCAGTGGTGCCACCATTTGCCCCCCCCCCTCCCCATCAGGCTCTTAACTAAGCAGTTGGTGACTGCGACACAGCAGCAGGAGTTATCCCCTTTCCCAAACTATCCTCTTATTAATGACTCCGAGCATTAAACACAGCCTGCGTCAAGATGTGTAAGGCTTTTTAATTAAAGACTTTTACTCTTCAGTTAAAGCCTTTTACATTTAATGACCCATTTTCCACCCTTAATTGATCTTATTTTAGTTTTAATGAAATGTTACACTGAAATACAACATACCACGTCAATCTATGCCTATGATGTGTTGCATCTTTTATGTTCTGTTATAAATAGCGGTGAAAAGGTTACAGTTTTATAGCAGGTTGACTATTTTGATGGTCAGTACACATTTTTCACTTTTTGTATTTTTATTCTAAAATAAAAGCTTTCTATGCCTGCTGAATCCTCATATGGCTGCAGAGTTTGGTAATGGTCGCTGGCCTAAAGGCACGGTCCAGGTCATCAGTCTATAACAGGCAAATGCCGAGACTCGAAGCTGGAGTACCCAGAGAGAGCCCATCCATACACAGGCAGAGCAGGCAAACCCCATGCAGGAGTCTCTACAACCTTTTGGATTTAATTTACAGGATGATAGTGCTAAATCATACTGCCTGGACTTGAACACACTGTAAGAAATCGATGTTGATAAGAATCAGGTTTTCTTGTCTATACGAAGTTTATAGGATTATATATTCATACATAATGTACATATTTTGTCAAAAAATATTAAATGAGCAGTAAAATAAAATGTTCAGATTACTTTTTTTTCTTTATTAATTTAAGTATTTACAGCCTGATGATGCTTTAAATCAAAGGTGATTGTCCAAAAGTGGAACGTACAATAACTTAATATAAAATAAAGACTATTTTACTAAATCTTTTAACCTGAGCATACATAAATATGTTGCCTGGAAGATAGAAAGGAATTGAAATAAATACTAAATAAAATCCATTTATAAACCTTTATTTATATAACTACATCTCTAAATAACTCCCTTATTATCACATTAAACATTTATGAATTGGGAACAGAATAAAGAACAAAAATCAAAGTCTGACTGACTTAAATCAGTTTAACTTTTTTTTTTCCATCAAGACGCCTGAGCTGCTTTAATGAGCTCCGATGTTCTCTTTATCCAGGATGTTCCTCTACCTTGCTTTGATGAACTCAATTCAGCAAAAACGTACTTTTTAATTGATAAAAGCTTGTCTAATTTTTCAGTTGGGTCCTCACAAAGCAAAACTGATCCCAGCCCTATTTTATTTTCTACCTAATAAATAAAATATTTTCATCTACCCCTTGCAAAGCATCGCAAACCACTAGGGGTGCGCGTACCCCCGGTCAGGAATCACCGCTTTAAATGATTAAAACAATAGCTGATGTGCTGGATCTTTTCTTAAAGCACCGCTTCCCCCTAAGTCAACTTTTATTTTGCTGATAAACAATATAAATGGATGTCTTACAGTAAATGGCATTATTTTGGCAATTTACTGCACATTTGATAAAATCTTTGTGTTGTATCTAAAAGCGTCTGTTTGATACCTTTCTCAGATTAAAAGATGGTTACTGCAGCTGATTTTTGCTATTTTCTGAGCCTGGGATGTGATGTAATTAAGGAGAACTTACATCAGCAGCTTCACCCTGAGCAGCTGTGGTTTGTTCAGGAAGTGACAATAAGTTCAAATATATTTTAAAAGTGTGAAATGGAAATAAGTGTTTGTCTCCTTTTTAAAAGTGGTATATTATCAAAATTTGATCAAAATATGTCTACATCATCTGCTATATTTATTGCCATATCTGAAATGTTATGAAAAAAAATGTGTGGAAGAAAAATAAATCTCATGAAAGGAAATAAGTGAACACAAGGGAGCTAAGGATGCAGTGGAACGTAGCAAAGAGCAAGAAGGTGACATTTAGACCAAACTTGATGTTCAACAAAAGAAGAACTAGTGACAACAGAACCTTCAGGATGACTGAGCTCATAAACTGAAGACGTACAACGAGAAGGAGGAATCCTGGAGAAATTAGCTCTCAGCACAAACAAACAGATGCCTGCTGGGATTTAGGAGCGCTCTGTGGTGAACCAGTCTGCCTCTAATTTCCCTTGGTGTTAAAGAATTGTACTGATTGTGACAGAAGCTTTATTTCTACCAGCGTTCAGGTTAGCTCTGACCAAATGTTACTCTGATGTGCAAATGAATGGATCGCCAAGATGATCTCATTCTCCATTGGGATTATTAAAGTATTTTGAACTGAATTTATCTAAATTCTCCCAGCAACTGTTGTTAGGATAGTTGACATGCATGCAGTGTGACAGTTTCACTTTTCTGCACATAATCAGCCAGTTTTAGCTGTGATGAATAATCTAGCTGCTACTCCACTGACAATGCTCATCAGCCTGCAATTAGTTTCTAACAACAATTTATAATCTGGCCTTAAAAGATTAGGCTAACAATTCAAACTGTTTCAGAGTAAAAGTTCCAATTCTCCTTCATTCGACTGAGACACAACATAAAATATTTCTAATCTTAAAGGAAAAGTCTGGTCAGCAAGGAATGATCAATGGATCATTATCTATACTAAAAACTAATATGTTCGCTATGATTTAATGAATTTAGTGTTAATCAGTAAAAAAATAAAATAAAAACAATAATTTTCACCCTGATCACAGAGTCTGGGAGCGGCCATTTTTGCCCAAATATAGTAACACCTCATTTCTGACATCTTCCAGCAGTGCGGTAAGGCTAGCGCCATTCTCCCTGCTTTACAAGAAAAATCAAAGGGAACTAATAGACACATCTGCAATCATCAATTATTTTGAGAGGAGTTCACTTTTGAAATTCGCGACAGCTATAGTTAAAGTAACAATGCCCACGTGCATGGCAGCTGGATGTTGTAATACGTTTTGTAAAAGTGAAAAAAAAATTAGTTATTTCACCTTTCCGATTCATGATCCTCCACGGGTTCGTTATTGGATTTCCAACTTGAAGAGTGAAGATTGGCAAGGGAACTTCTGGCCAGAGAAAAAACTCCTAATATGTAGCCAATATTTCAAGGAAGAATGTTTTCAAGATGACTTGGATAATAGCGCATTGTTTCAAACAGCAGATAGAGCATTGGGACTTGCTCAACAGCCGATACCGCACCATGACGTCACAAACCGGTAGGTGGCTGTAGTGTTCTTTGACAAACATGGATGTCTCCAGTAAATCGCATTTAAATGAAATTACTCTTAATTAAAAACACTTATCATTTATTGAACAGTATGTAAAAAAAATCATATTTAAAGTACTTTCAGAAGTTTGAATTCTGAATATGACTGGACTTTTCCTAGCTTTACTTACAAGTGAACCATTTTGAGAAATGATTTTTAATGATAAGGGACCAATGAAAAATCTGGTCTGCACATTTTCCTTTACAGTGTTAGATTTAATGGTCTGGCTGTTGACCTCCTGCTTTAGCTATCTGTTTTGACCTTAGCAGGAACAGTGTTGCATCATCTCCCCTTATTTTTTATATTTATTTTTGATGATCCTGGGGGCAAAAACTGTTTCTTCCAGCATAGAGACCATTTTTGGTGGTTTAAAAAAAAAAAAAAATCCCACCTCTTGAACCTTTTACTTCACATTAAACAGAAACTAGCCTATTTGATTTATTTTGAAAGATTTGAATCATAGTTAAAGAAAAAAAAAAAATTATTTAATAAACAGATGAAAGCGTGGTTGTTTTTTCCTTGGTTTAGTTTCTGTGGATAGTTTGTGAGATAATCCTAAAGGCTAACTGTGAAGAACATACATGCACAAGTATGATTCTACAGGGATGCTTGTCATTATATACCCACGGGCCTTTTATGCTATATGATCACACATCAGTTTGAATAAGTTAACTTATTAGTACTTAAAGCGTTGGCTAATGACAAAGAGGAAATGCCTTTGAAATGGGAGCTTCAAAAAGATAACCCCATATTCCCCATTATGGTTCAGCGTCTTGCTTCCATTCCAACAAGATCAGCCATATGGAGTGGTCAGCACAATTCATGGACCTTTATCCAATAAAAACTTTGTTCTTAGCAACTAAATATTAGTGAAGAGTTTTATTTATACATATATATATATATATATGTATATGTATTTTATTTTTTTTTTTATTTTTGTCAGCAATACTTTTCAGACTAGAACTCTTCCATAGATGCAGTCATGAACTCTTATTCACTGTTTAAAACATTTAATAAAGCCCTAGATATTTTCTATCATTTGCAGAGTGGTAGGTAGGTATCAACTACTTTTATTCTGTTTTATAATTTCTTGAATTAATTCGGATCAGAGCACATGTTCCTGATTGAAACTCTGTCCTACACTGCAAAAAAATGTAAATCTAAGTAAGTCAATTTCTCTTAAAATAAGTACATTTTTTCTGCAATTAAGCAGGTAAGTGAGACACTATGCTAATGGAAGAAGACAATTTACATTTGAAATAAGAAAAAAACAACAGCAGTCTTTTATTTCAAGTGCATGATGTCAAATGATCTTATTTTAATGGTAAAAATGCTCATTCCATTGGCAGATAATTTTATTTTCCCTACTCAAATTAAGGGTAAATACACTTATTTGAAGAAGTTTTTACTCATTTGCAGAATGTTTTTGCAGTGTACTTCATGTTGTTCTGACAGGTTAATCTCAGTGATTTATAAAGATGCTGCTATATTTTCTTAGAGGACAAGGTTTTTGTTCAATTTTTCTTAAACTCCTAACTGGAGTAAGTTATCTTTGGAAACTGCACTTAGTACTTTCTTAGGCTATCTGTATCTGATTTTAGAAACTGTTAAATGAAGAATGATTGAAGAAATCAGAGCGAATTGCTTTTCCTTAAGAATCGTGGCTTCAAACTCAGTCAGTGATTAGATGATTTAAAAGTTTACTTATTTCAGTAACTGTGAAAAAAAAAGTTTAAAGCTTTTGTTTTAGTTAACTTGTTTCTGCCTGCAACAATGAAGACCTAGACTATGACGTTATGTTTAATCTGACCTGATAGGTTGTTTTCCAAAGGTACCTTTAATTGCCTTAATCAGAACACAGCTTTTTAATTGATTAATAAAGGCTGTTTATTATAACAGTGGATTTGCTGAGATAATAATATGTAATCACATCAGCAAACACATACTGTAGATTTATTTTCCCCCCTGCTACTGCACTACAACTGTCAGGCAGACATGTGAGGATTTTATTTCAGGCATTTGGACTGAACATCTCTGACCCTCAGCCGGAGCATATGCTACACTGGAGCAGAGTGGCAGCTATACACCGTGTGCCTTTCTGCAGGACCATGCGACTAGCCGCAGAGAAAGAGAGAGCTGTCCAGATCGGATCTGTGTGCAGACATGCCCTAGTCACAACCAGCTGACAGGCCAAGCAGCCCCCGCCATCTCGCCGAGCCTCAGAAACCCTCCCGCTGGCCAAAGGCCCCCACCGCAGTCAGTTAAAGTCTCTCCATCACTGTTGGAAACACCAGCCAGGAACTGACACAAGCCTGGCATTAAGACAAAAAAAAATCCTTGAGTGTCAGCCTTATGATGGCTGAAAGGAACATCAGTCTCAGCAACTGGCCGGGCACTGCTTTGTACATTTGTGTGCTTGCGTGCCCGTGTGGCTGCGTGCACGCGTCTTGATATTCAAGCAGCATTTGAGCAGCCCCTACATCAACGTCTGGTCCTTCTACACAGACAGTGTCAGCTCGCCTCAGGGCAGCAGCCTCCGCAGTGGTCATATGGACAACCACATCCCTGTGGTAGAATTAGTGATAAAAAACACACGCGGTCGCTGAGTGACAGTCAGCGCACCAGATTCCTTTGGACAGACAGGGCTGCAAATAGCACAGAGGAGCTGCCTCTCCCTAAGACCGCAACTGGTGGTC